ATTCGTAACAATATGAACTTAACAGATCTTTTTGTACTTTCCAGCACATACCACAGTGTTGACAGATCGCATAGAATAGCTCACAATCAAGAAATACTCATCCGCTTGGTTGATTTCGCCAAAATCACACGGGTTGAGGGCTGGGCCGGCGCGGATTCTGTATTGAAAGTCCTAGATGGAGGCCTGGGACACAACTTCATCAAATTGGGTTATAACACCGAAGAAGATAAGTTTTTCAGTTATAGAGTGGATGTGTACGGCGTGTTAGAATGCGATGATTAATTATAATAAATATAAGTTTATAAAAAAGTAGTTTTCGTATTATTTTTACCCGAATGTAGGATGGTATGAGTGTAATCTTATTTTTAACCCCGTTTCTTCTTAACCAATTGACCGATTTAGACAAATAATGATATATAGTCTGTCAAGCGAGTCTAGTTCCATGAAAAAGGCGGCAAATTAAAAATCTTACAGGTGTCAACATTGATATAGGACGCTGTATTGATAAAAATAACATATTTGAAATAAATAAAAAAAAAAACAATCAATAAGTTTTCAGCGTGCTATATCAGTGTTGACACATGATAGATTTTTGAATTTTTGAAATTGCCGCCTTTTTCATGGGACTAAACTCGCTTGACAGATTCTACTAAATCTATAGATACGTCTTGATAACCCAAGTGTTCTTAGTTATGTGAAATTAAAAAAAAAACAACCCATAGACGAGAATATTAGAGTCAAAAATAATATTGGGTCCCGACTGTTACAGTTGTTTTAATACGGTATTTGACAACAAGTCAAATTCAATACTTTTTTCGAATTGTCAAAAACGACAGTTTTGAATTTTGTACGAGATTTGAATTGTGACGTCACGTTTTTTTAGCATCAAACAGCATACCTACTTATTTCCAGAACTGCATAAAATCAATTAATGAAATAATTTATTTTTGATTAAGAAAAATACTCAAATTATTTACTATTGGCGTTGCAAAGATTCTAACTATCGTCTCTAGTATCAACATTGTGAAACTGTTTATTGAACTCATACAGACAGTTTTCGTATATAATTTACGTCACAGAAAAAAAAATATCTATTAAATATAAATCAGATTTATGTGGTTTCTTGTATATAAATATTTAAGTAAATAGCAAAATTATTCAAATGTTATACTAAACTAGCAAATTCTACGAACTCCGTTTCGCCACCAGATGGCTTCGTTTTATGTGACATTTCGTTTGGTGAATTTTCTTTGCTATAAACCTCACGGAGTCCGAGACCTTTACAACGAATGCCAAACCGTGGAAATCGGTTCGTGCGTTCCAGAGTTATAGCGTCAGGAAGGAAAACCCGACTTATTTTTATATAGTAACTAGCGGACCCGACAGACGTTGTCCTGCATATCCACTTGGATGTATAAACAAAAATTCATTCAAATTAGTTCAGCTGTTTAGGATAAATAACCTAAACATCGACTGCAGCCCCATCTACCGGACTGATTTGTGAATCTAAACCATTCCCAGATCCCCTTGAACACACACAAAAAATTTCATCAAAATCGGTCCAGTCGTTTGAGAGAAGTTCAGTGACATACACACGCACAGCAGAATTATATATGTATACTAGCTGTGCCCGCGACTTCGTTCGCGTGGAATAGTGACTATGAGCAGCGTTTTTTTTTAAATATAATTACTCACGACGTGATTCGTTAATTAGACATAACTTTTTTATTTATGAACCGATTGACATGAAACAAACACTAAAGCATAACTGAAGCATACCACAATATATTCGTGAAAACCGCATCCAACTCGGATCAGCCGTTTCTGAGATTAGCGTGAACAGACAAACAGACAAACAGACAAAAAAAAGTTAATTACATTTTTGGGTTCGACATCGACATAACAATAACCCCTGCTATTTTTTTTATTTTTATTTTCAATGTACAGACAGCACTTTTCTACAATTTTATTATATGTATAGATAGATAGATAGAAGAAGATAGAAGATAGATATAGATAGAAGATATAGATATAGATAAAGATATCCTTAATTTACACTCGAATTCAATCCTATTATATCCTTCATCCACCGTCGATCCATCATTAAACTCGCATTTATTTAAGATTCCTGATTCATTTACAATATGTTTATCTGATGCTCGACCACCATAAGATGCACTTGTTTCAGTTATTAGGCCCGAAGGAGTTATTTCAATATTAAACTTCGCTGTATTGTATGAGAGTACGTCAAAATCCTACATTTTAAACAGCACAGTCTAATATTATCATTGTATTTTTATATTTTTGGAATGATTCAGGTAAGTTATTACGTAATAGGGGGTGAACCTATTGCCGTATACCGGGAACAATTCCAGACTCCGTGCTACTAGGTAATGGGATTTTTTTTAACCCAGTTATACTTTGCCCGACCCAGGAATCGAACCCGAGCCGTTGCCCAGCAGTCGGCACTTGCGACCACTCGGCCAATAAGGCAATTAGGCAGGTAATGTCAGAGTCACAAGTCATGTTTCGGCACAATTGGGTCGGGTCGAAACGACAGACTAATATCCAAGTGAGCACTATTATAATACAATCATACCTACTATACCTCGTGTGTTCATAAGTTTTGAGACAAATTAAAAGTTGCATATCTTTTTAAATAATAAACTTATATTTATATATTAAGTAAAATATAAGTAAAATATAATGTTATATTATAAGTAAAAATTAAATATAATTATTATTCAAAATTACCACCCCTGTTTTTAATACATGCCCTTAGACGATTTAGCCAGTCATCAATGGCGGCACGAACCTTTTCCAGAGGAATTCGCTTCGCTTCTCGGACAAGAGCTCACTTAAGTGACTCCAAGTTTGGGTGGGACTTTCGGCAGGCTCTGAGCTCTAATTCGGTCCATAGAGAATAATCCAGCGGGTTGAGGTCGGGGCTGGAGGAGGGCCATTCGTTCGCCGCAATGAAGGCCGGCACATTTTCCTTCAGCCAAGCTTGGGTGGTTTTAGCCTTATGGGATGGCGCCGAGTCTTGCTGGAAAACCCAATACTTGTTATGGAATAGGGTATTAGACAGGGGTTTCACAACAGTCTCTAGAATGTCACTTTGATAATTTTTGGCTTTCACCTTGACGCCTTGTTGGCAGAAATGAAGCTGAGTGACACCTTCGTACGAAACTCCCCACCATACCATGACACTAGCCGGATGATGAGTACGCGAGACATTCCGTGCTGAAGGTGGGACATCCTTGCTACTTTTGGCATACACTTTATTGTTTTATCGATTGAACTTTTCTTCGACGGTAAAGATTTTCTCGTCGGTGAAGAGTATCTTCCTCGCATCGTGCCTCCTAAGCAGTATTGGACAACGTTCGCGTCGCAATTGACGAAGGCGATCGTTTAAAAAGTGTACTTTTCTACGGCTATACGCCTTAACCTTGAGATCATATTTCAGTATTCTGTTGACTGAAACGCGCGAAATATTGGTCTGCAGAGCGAGTTTCTTCTGAGTGCGACATGGATTTCGGCGAAGTCGCTCTCGGATGATTTTAATGTTCGCAGGCGTCCTCACAGAGCGTGGACGTCATTATTCAATATTAACACTAGAGGTATAAAACCCTTATCTAAGCTGTTACCTAAAATAGCTTTCAGAGTACAAAATATAAGCCAAACTCAATTACTATTAGTTCACTCAATATCCACGCAATATGGATGTAATGGGCGCTTGTGTTGCAACTCAAGAGTACGTAATTCCACAATATGAATGTCGATATATCGGAATTGAATTAAAAATTCAAGGGGGCTGACCAGCGCATATAGCCTTAGCCCAGTTAGCCCCCATTCTTTTTTTAAACATTATCATCAGTTTTTCTGTTTTACTTGCAACGTGTCCAAAACATTTAAAACATGTTCTCAAGTAAGACGTGATTGTGAGCCGTGTTTTAAGCTGAATCCGAATTGGTGCATTGGTCCGGTGTTCACTACAGCGGATTCTGAGCATCTTACGCTAAGTCTGTCTTTATAGAAGCTTGCCGGCATGACCGGAGTAATAAATACTTTTGCCTCGCAGGAGACCGGCGCAAAACAAGTGAGTATGCTTGCCGTAAGCCCCACTCCCTCCCCCTCCTCCCTCATCATCAAATTCCTAATCCACGAAAGCGTGCAACACTCTGGTGTTGCGTGTGTTCATTGTCGGCGTTGATTGCTTACCATCAAGCGATCATAGTCGTGCTTGTTTCTCGCCCTATTCCAAAAATCTAGTTGTTACTGTAGGCCGTGTGAATACGTGTGGCACTAGTAAAAATACATTACCTACTTCTCTATTATTAACCCGTTGAAATTCATTCCCTAATTTTGTTCATACAAAAGTAGTCTTCAAACTTCGAAAATAAGGTCTATAATGTAGTTAGTGAAGAGCGGTCACCGGCGACCGCTTTACCGGGGATATATGAGAACGCTGGCATTATTTTATCTTTAATGAGTAACATTTATCGACTATTATTTGTTACAGTACTGATAATTGCAAGTAGTTTTTCTTCAGGCGATATGCAAAATGCAACATCTGATTTATTTGTTAAAATGATAGAGGTATACATAATCATTTAGTGTTTTAGTACCTTAAAGGAAAATGCTAAGAAACCGTAATTTATCGCAAAACAATATGTTTTAGATGATATGATTTTAATTTACCTAGTACTTCATTTATTATTTTAATATTAGGTACTGTACGTACCTACACATTTCATTAAAATTTTGCTATACATAATTATATTTAAAACACACTTTAATAACAAGTGTTATTGTGTAAAAAATTAAAAACCGTAAACATAACCATAAGATTTTTGTTCTGAATAATCTATGCTACGATTATTTTTTAGAATGGTCACCCCAAGTATCCGCCATCATTGATTGATCATTGAGAAAATCGGCGTTCAGGAAACCGCGACGCGTGGTGTGGTGTTACGATTTGAGTAATCAGATAAACTAACATGGGTGTGAACGTAGAAACTATTTCTCCCGGAGATGGTAAGTTATTAAACAAAGATTTTAAAATACTAAATCGAAATGTCATTGTAAAATGGTTAGGTAAGTACTAATCTAGTAGGCAAATTATGGTTCTTAAACGAAGATTTTTGGCTATAAAACTTATAAACTATCTCAATATTCTATTTCGAACATTACTTAGATGGTTTTTATTGTTTTAAATCTAATTGTGTTCTCTTATATATGAATATCGATGTTTTATGATATCTTTTCCTTTTGCGGTCGGACGGAGTGACGCCTGCCGACTCGTATCGGATTTACGTCGAATACATAATTTGCACAGACAATGACTAGTCTTTTTGTGTAATTACAATTATATTGATTCACATTCTTATTTGATAATTAATACATAACCTATAACTATACTTTTACGTGGTTGGTGATGATTAGGGCTCCAGCCGGCTTCTATTTTAACCGCTAAATATTACTTACCACGTGCAGTTACCGCATTATGCTAGTATTTTTCCTTGAATTCTATGACCATTTATTTGCTTAAAAATCGTTAGTAAAGGAAATGTAGTTATCTGATAAGTCTCTTACTAGATAACACTTGGATAGTAATAATTATTATTATGATAAAACAAACATTACGTGTGTTTGCATGTGTGTGTGTATTTATTTAAAGAAATACAGGTTGTTCACCTGATACTAAGATCTTTTCAAAGTTAAATAGGTCAAGGTTTGCATGAAACCCTTTTTGGTATCAGCAATTATATAAATGATTGTTATCCTTTTGTTTATGAACTGGTGTAACCTTGCTATTGACTACATTTACTACACTGTCTGATAAAGTTACTATTTAAGTGAATCAACACATTTCATAGGAAAGCCTGAAATCAGTCAATATCATCTGCTAGTTAGACAACAAATTATAAAACAAAACAAATCCTAAGTCATGTATTAATTTTGAAATTTCTACCAAATTAACTTTTAAATGTTACCTTCCTCAGAGTCCACCTACCCCAAGTCGGGCCAGACCGTAGTGGTCCACTACACTGGTACGCTGACCAACGGCAAGAAGTTTGACTCCTCCCGTGACCGTGGCAAGCCTTTCAAGTTCCGCATTGGCAAGGGAGAGGTCATCCGTGGCTGGGATGAGGGTGTTGCCAAGGTAAAAATTATTTTAATGTCAACTCTTTATGAAATATTAAGTTTCAAATCTTACAAATCAATGTATTTGCGAATTAGAGGTCAGGGTGTAGTGTTATTCTGTTTTTCAAAGATTTTATTTTTTATGGATAAAAATTAAGTCTGGAATAGTATCCACTATCCAGTATCTCATAATATTATGGATTACTACATGGGGCTAGTGAAAAGTGATGGAACATAACATAACATCAAGCCTTTTATCCCCGAAGGGGTAGGCAGAGGTGCACATTATGCCACTGTACAACGTAACACCCACTTTTCACTATTTATGTTATGAGTCCCATGATGTAATAGGTGAGCCTTTTGCCATATACCGGGCACAATTCCAGACTCCTGAGATTGCTACTACTGAGATTTTTTAAAAAACCCTGTAATACTTTGCTCGACCCGGGAATCGAACCCGAGACCCCTTGCCCGGCAGTCGCACTTGCGACCACTCGGCCAACGAGGCAATGATGTGATGGTGTATTGATGTATTAAAAAATTAGAAAAATAAAAATATTTAATTCAATGCATAATGTTAGATAGTTACCCAGTCTGTATATTGACTACCATGTTCAGTAGAATGTAAAATTCACAGTAACAGTAGCATATATCTCAGTGTTTAGGCTAAATAAGAAAATGTTTGCAATTAAAGTTCCTGTGTTTTGCAAACTGATTTACAATCATTGCTACTTAGATTTTCCCATACAAAGTAGAAGAAACAGCTCTCTTTGTTTGTTATGACATTGCCATAGTCATTCATACAATACGGTAGTTGACATCTAATCAAATTCAATACTTTTATCGAAACGTCAAAAACGATACTGAGTGCCAAGCACGAATAACTATCGCATTCGTAACGTAATAGTATCGAGCGCGTTCGGCACTCTGATTGGCCGGCTCAAGTGAACCAACCAATCAGGACGCTTAACGCGCTCGATACTGTTACGATACGAATGCGATAGTTATTCGTGCTTGGCCCTCTGTTCTATGAATTTTGTATGAAATCCCTACTTATGACGTCACTATATTTTCGCGTCAAATAGCACAATTAAACTGTCAAACACCAAGCGGTCACCGGTGACCGCGACCTATTGTTCTTTAATTGTGTCTATAAAACCGGTACTCGACGAGTTAAATCTAAAATAAAATGCTAGAATAAATCGAAAATTAAGTATATCTGCAAATCAATGAATGAAAGAGTAACTGTGTCAATATTTAATTGGACTGAAAAATCAAATTAACTTATTACCCCTTACTAACCCAGGAAACTACCCTTTTCAGTAGGCTTTTTCAATTAAAAATACGTATATTATGGTATTAACTTCTGTCAGCAGCTTATCTCGCATTCACTGGTTGAGCTTAGCTTGTTTCTCTATTTCAGATTATCTATCTTTGCTTCAAGTTCTAATTCATTTTGTAGTTTTTGTATGAAAGTGACATACTTTCACATTCATACAATATGAGTAATGAGTAAGCACAATTAATAAGGGAATAGAATCAATAACTATAATGAGACTCATAACATAAGTGGTGAAAAATGAGTGTTACATATGCATTATCTGACTATCCCTTTAGGGATTAAAAGGGGTGATGTTATGTTTGTAATACCAAGTAAATAAAAAAAACTAATGTTTGTAACAAATATTTATTTCCTTTAAAATTTGTTTGCTTATTAATGTCACCTGCCACTTTCATCGCTGCATCACCTAAAGATCGACTGTTTGACAATGCCCAAGGCATTAAGTACCTGTACGTGTTTTTGTGTTTTAACATAACATACATAACATCACGCCTTTTATCCCTGAAGGGCGTAAGCAGAGGTGCACAGAAGTAACACCCACTTTTCACTATTTATGTTATGAGTCCCATGTAATAGGGGGTGAGCCTATTGCCATATACCGGGGACATTTCCAGACTCCGTGCTACTACTGAGATTTTTTTAAAAACCCAGTAATACTTTGCCTGACCCGGGAATCGAACCCGAGATCCCTTGTCCGACAGTCCCACTTGCGACCACTCGGCCAACGAGGCTGTCTTATTATTATTTATTTATTTCCTTTAAAATTTGTTTGCTTATTAATGTCACCTGCCACTTTCATCTCTGCATCACCTAAAGGTCGACTGTCAGACAATGCCCAAGGCATTAAGTCCACCTATTCATGGTTTAGACTATAAATTTCAATTTATCCCATTACAGATGTCGGTGGGCGAACGCGCCAAGCTGACTTGCTCCCCGGACTTCGCCTACGGCCAGCAAGGTCATCCTGGAGTCATCCCGCCCAACTCCACCCTCGTCTTCGACGTAGAACTCCTGCGCCTCGAATAAAACTATAAGCAGTCATCTAACTTTAATTAATTTACATTTAGACATTGGAACTATTTCTCTTGTTTACTAAACCATTGAAAATTTTTGAAAATCATCCCCTAAATTTGTTTACACAAAGGTAGTCTATAATGTAGTTAGTGGAGAGCGGTCATCGGTGACCGCTTGGTGATATACGGGCTGAGTCCTGTGGCATCTTTATATGGCTGGAATAAATAAGAAATGTCCATTGGTTTTTGGTGTTCTCCATACAAATAATTACATTTTTACGTTAACTATTTCGATCGTTAGCGTCAGTCAGAAGGATGGCTTAATCCCAGTGAACAAGAGAATGGTTCCATGTAAGTATTTCAACTTAATGTCTTTTAAAGTAATTAATAAAACGTTAAACTTATATCGGTACATGAACTAAATGGAAAAACTGCCAACATTGAATGTCAAATTGGAAACTATGAATTTACTTGACGTAATATTTGAAGATTTTCATGTTTTTTTATGATATACTTCTTATTAAGATCGTGCACAATAATACTAAGTCCCTATGTCAAATGCAATGTGTGACATGATAACCGATTGTTTCGACGACTATATTAAACTGTCAAACACCAAGCGGTCACCGGTGACCGCGACCTATTGTTCTTTAATTGTGTCTATAAATACGGTACTCAACGAGTTAATTGTGTCTATAAATACGGTACTCGACGAGTTAAACTGTCAAACACCGCGAGGACACCGGTGACCGCAACCTATTGTTCTTTAATTGTGTCTATAAAACCGGTACTCGACGAGTTAATTGTGTCTATAAATACGGTACTCGACGAGTTAAACTGTCAAACACCGCGAGGACACCGGTGACCGCGACCTATTGTTCTTTAATTGTGTCTATAAAACCGGTACTCGACGAGTTAATTGTGTCTATAAATACGGTACTCGACGAGTTAAACTGTCAAACACCGCGAGGACACCGGTGACCGCAACCTATTGTTCTTTAATTGTGTCTATAAATATGGTACTCGACGAGTTAAACTGTCAAACACCGCGAGGACACCGGTGACCGCAACCTATTGTTCTTTAATTGTGTCTATAAATACGGTACTCGACGAGTTAAACTGTCAAACACCGCGAGGACACCGGTGACCGCAACCTATTGTTCTTTAATTGTGTCTATAATGACTGTACCTACTCAAAGGGTTAATTGTGTCTATAATGACTGTACTCAAAGGGTTAAGACTACATAACATCACAGCAACAGCCTATAAGTGGCCACTGCTGAGTAAAAGCCTTTTCACATAGAGAAGGGATGATTATTACTCATCATGTTTATTCAAGGCAGATTGGCGATTTCAAACTTAAACTGTCAAATACCGCGAGGCCACCGGTGTCCGCAATCTATTGTTCTTTAATTGTGTCTACAATGACGGTACTCAAAGGGTTTAAACTGTCAAACACCAAGCGGTCACCGGTGACCGCGACCTATTGTTCTTTAATTGTGTCTATAAAACCGGTACTCGACGAGTTAAAATGAGAAATTGTGAGTCGCAAGTACAATAACTCGGAAAAATCACACTTGTACTTGTTGCTTGAGGTGCAGGCCACCAAGATTAATGTATGTATGTGTAGATCTTTGGAGTTAGATGTTATGTATTCACGTTTATCATGTTACACATTGTATATTTTAAAAAGTATGTTTTATATTGTACACGTTTTTTTACAACTGTATCTTACAAGGATTCAACCAGATCCAATGTCAATTACAATTCAGTTCTGACTGTTTGCATATTCCTAAAGTCTATAGCATTGATGTATTAGATAAACTTAAAAAGCCTTAGCTCATTACGACATTCCTTTAGCATTTTGATTATTAGAATCGTGCAATATGTCTTAAATAGTCACTCTTAGAAGACTTTTCACTCTTGATCACAATATGATATGGATGTGTTAAGATCTGGATAGTTTAAGGGCCAAAATATGTAATGTGCTGTATTCCAAAACTGTAAATAACTTGCACAAGTATCTTGTGGACTCATTACCTGGATTTGGATGTGTGGTTGGTGAAGGTAATTTCAATGATAGCTTTATCATTTATAACTAAGATGAATAAACTTATTGTGGAATATTTAATTTGTTTTATTTGTCACATTTCCTGCTTGGACTATCATGTACCTGTACAAATTAACGCATTTGTCCCTTGGAACGTTAAGAAACTTATCCAATATACAAATCTTGTAATATCTGGAAAACTAGAGGTCCTTACACCAAAAATTTATGAAATTTTCGTCATCCTCTATGGACGCACCCCGGTAAGAGCTTTATGACAGGGTGGGAGTGTCTTGGGTAGGTAGGGTAGAGCCCCTTTATAAAACCTTTAACTCATCCCCGTCACAGTGCTGACACTTCACTCCTCGCCTCAAATGCATATAACCCCGTCCTATACAAAAACAGTCAGTCGCATTCCATCCACCCGTGCACTCGTGGGTCACGAGTGCCGGTATATGAGACAATAGAAAATATATTGTGTCTCGCATAGATCGACGTTACGGCATACCACGGGTTAATGAATATTCTACAACTCGATTATTAGGTACTCAATATTTAATTAATAATCGTCTCGGCGTGTGTGTTTTCATTACCAATATGCAAATCTTCTAATATCCCAAAATCTCTTAAAAAAATATTTCAATTTACGAACACTCAATGTCCAATATTTGATGTTCCCACATGGCGATTATGACGACTTGGGTTTGGGTGAAGTACTTTTTGTACTGCTAGCATAAGCCACGGTGGGGTGGCTGCCCCACCCAAGCTCTGACCCGATAGGTACATATCTAACCAAAAAAAACATTTATTTAAATCATCTAGGTATTAAATTATAATACTTTGTATTTGCAAGTTTCATACTTGACAGTCATTGGTTGACACCAAAAACTGATTAAAATAAGAATTGCGTAACCCTTATTTTATTGGTTCATCATCATCATCAGCCGCTAGACCGCAGCCTGCCTCACCCAGGCGAGAGAAGTCATCGGATGATTATCCCCCCTTAAAAAAAGACGTCCACCGCAGAACATAGGCCACCCGAGTTAATTCCAGATAGGCCCGGTTCGGTACGACCTGCATCCAGCTGATTCTTGCAATCTTAATTATGCTGTCTTTTGTCTACATTGAGGTTGGATATATGCTTTATGCGGTTGCTGGTATGTGCAGTTTTCATTCCCCATTAGCCATCGGTTGTACGTGCTATGTACTCCATCCACTGCAACCAGTTTGCTAATTCACTGGGCTATGTTAGCGATTATCGTTAATTTTCGGATCTTCTACTAGGTTTTTTAAGAAGGAATCATGTTCCAATCTCTGCGCCTACCTCGGATGAGGCGAAGGAGTATCAGACACTGACTAAAAACCACTCCGTTCCTACCCCTTGCCTCGGGCCGGGAACCCATTAAGTCACCGGCACCATATCGCCCAACTGGGTGCTCTTTGGTGGTCTGATGGCTACTTGAGCACGCTTGGAACGCAACTTACCCTACAATCTAGTCTGGTTCTGGTCGAGTCACCTGGCCCAGTCCTTATTTACGGTGGCCGGACATCTCACGTTCCTCGACGCCTGGAGTACCTCCCGTGACGGCTGAGGTGTGAAGAAGTTCGTTCGGTCACGCGCTCTACTTCTTCTTTAGCTAGCATGACTGCGTCACCCCGTTCCTACTACTGCTCTTCGAGCCCATTAGGCCGACCGCCCGGCAACCCATTAGGCCGACCGCGGAAGAAGGAGTACTATGGCCTGAATCAGAGCTAGACACGAGAGGTCGCTGTCGCCAATCACATCCCCGAGGATATGGCGGTGCGGTGTTCACCCTTTACAGGACACACTGCCACGGTATACTCCATCGTGTCCTCCGGGTGGTCCTCGCAATGATGACAACCGGGCGTCACCTTTCATCCGATTAGAAATAGATATCTCCCGAAACTCCAATGTTTGGGACTTACCGCTGCAATGACAGCGAGCGCAATTTCTTTACATGTGATTCAATTGTTTTTGTACAAAGTATTCAAAATCTCGATGTGATGAAAGTACCTACCGATAAATCAATATGGCACCAAGAACCGCCTTAACACTGCCTTGTTCTGTCTCATTACTAGACACCATGCCAGGGCGACATTGCCAGTTACGTATCCAAGCAATTAATATTGAAATAGACCTATATAACTTATTTGGCGATGTCTGGTCTACGTCGCCAAATTGGAAGTTTGGCTACGAGCGACGAGGCACGAGGTTACATTATAATGCACACAGGTAAATTACACATCGCTTAGCTGCTATTTTTAACGCTTTGGATGCATTTTTAAATTGTGTTGACTTGTCGAGGCGCCGTGGGCTTGCTTTGGTGACCGGTATCAGCAGAAGCTACTGGCGACAATATGGCGTTATAATGAGACAGCTCTCAAGCCTCGATCAAATCAACGGTTGTTTTACAGTCCATAAACTCTAAGCACATTATATTTTGACCCTAGGTCAAAGAAGTTTAAAAAAGACGTTATTGGACCTACGACCAGGACTATTCATGATAACCCTCAGGAACAGTTTGTAGACATGACTCAGATCAAAAGTGAGATGCTTCAGTAAAGCGTTTACACCTTTTTTAACAATAAAGATTTTTGCTCCTTGCCTGTGACGTTGCTTTGTCGAGCAAGGCGCAGTTGAAGAAGATGATCTAAAGGACTTTCAGTACCAGCTTTCCACTCGCTTCCTGAAGCTTTGATGTAACTCCTCTTCACATGGTACCTTGTTGTTAACAAGTATTTTAAGAACCATTCTAATCACTACATGGTATAAAACAAAGTCGCTATCTGCCGTGTGTCTGTCCCTATGTATGCTTAGATCTTTAAAACTACTAAGGATTATGATGCGGTTTTTTAAATAGATAGAGTGATTCTTAAGGAAGGTTTTAATGTATAATACATGTGTATTGCACCCGTGCGAAGTCGGGCGGGTTGGTAGTCTAGTATAAGCGAATGTTCGAGATATACTCGGTTTAGGGCCGGGTAAGCTTGTCTTCTGGACCTACTACTGAGGTGACAGGCTTACCGACTGATGCGTATAACTGGCTAAAAGAACTCCCCCTCAAAACTTAGGTCTTTGACGACACTATACTATGCTACCAACCTCCGCAGATCCGCAAAAGATTTACCCTTTTGAAGACTACTTGGAGCCCCAAGTATGAAGGGGTCTTGGTATCGCCTTTCATACTATTCGTGTTAAGTCATTTCGCAGAGAATGTGAAATCTGTCTATTGAGTTGCCTATGCGTCTTAGCTTCGGCGGAATTTTAGAGCGTTATCACGCGTCGCACGCTTGTCTTTCTATCAAGGTTTGAAAAATTTAGACCGACCTCTTGCTAATCTCAATTTTTTTAGTTGCGTCCACAATTTATGGTAGTCATAGAAGATTAAACTGTTTACTGTTATGCATGTACATACAGAATTACAGATGCGTAGGTACACCTTTTTTTAGGGGAGGAAATCATCCATTGACTTCTCCCACCTTGGGAAGCGAGAGGGAGTGTTAGATTCTTACTGACTAAAATCCGCCCAGTTCCTACTCCTGCTCTTCGAGTTGGAGGCCCGGCCACTCGTTAGGTCTTCCGCGGCTCCGTGTCGGGCATCAGCCCTACCGGGCCCCATATGTGGTGGTCTGATGGCTCTTTAAGGCGCGCGTGGAACTCGACGCGCCGTAGATGCCAACCTTGAGTTAGATGAGGTTATTTTAGACTCATCCTGAGCCTATGGCTGGCTACGTCCATGTATGAGGAGCATGAGAGTATCGCATACCTATGTATGGCTAATTGGCTATTTAGCACGTCTCCTAACTCCTAATACACTCAGAGGCAGACCTTAAACCTAGAGAGCGGCCGAGGCAAGCACCTCACAGGCGTCCCTAACACTTTTGGTGTCACCGTCATTCTATGGTGCGGCGCCCCTCTATAACCTGGTGCAATAAACACTTGCTTAGTTTGCCTTAGTGGTAATAGGGCTCTGAGTACACGACTTATAACGTAACTGATGGATAGTGGCCATGACATTTCAACATAACATAACATCATGCCTTTTATCCCAGAAGGGGTAGGCAGAGGTGCATAGCCACTGTAGTACAATGTAACACCCACTTTTCGAGTCCCATCTAATAGGGGGTGAGCCTATTGCCATATACTGGGCACAATTCCAGATTCCGCGCTACTACTGAGATTTTTTTTAAAACCCAGTAATATTTTCCCCGACCCGGGAATCGAACCCGAAACCCCTTGCTCGGCAGTCGCACTTGCGACCACTCGGCCAACGAGGCAGTCCAGTGACATTTCAATAGGCACCTAAATTTAATTTGGAGCATAGATATTTCTAATTATTAGGTATTGGAATGGGGCTACCGTATTTTTGCAAACGTAGGGAAAGATTTTTTGTCCAATCACTGCAGCTTTGACAGCTAATATTGAACGTCAAATAGTGTCAACCCTATTGGATGAAGGACGAGAGGTTCATACTAGTGCCCGTGGTAAGCAAAAAACGGTGGGCTCCAGTGTAGCGTGAACAAAGGGTTATAGTAATAAAACACGATAACAAATATAAACATTTTATAACAAACATCGTATCCAACCTTACATTTAACACTTAGTGCCAGGCGAAACCGAATCAATCGATAAACTAAATCATTAAACAACACTAAAAAAATAAAACATTGATAATTTTTTAATTCAACTTTTTTTTGGTTGTGTGAAGATGATTTGATTGTGTAGTCTATAGACTACACACAAAAAATAGAAATAAGTTGTGGATTAAAATAAAAGATAAAAGTACCTACATGAAATATTAATCAGGACTAATTTTTTCGATCGATTTTAGATATTTCATTAACATTATTAGAGAGGTATGTAGCTTTTATATTTGTATTTTATTTAAGAATGTTTATTTTCATGAAAATATATTTTTTGTAGTTGTAACTGGGATATTATATTATTAATAATTGAAAAATGAGCCCTGATAATATATATGTATGTACATTGAAATTAAATATGGATAAGGAATAAAAATACGAAAATATACGAACACGATTTTTTAAATCATTTGGTTTAGTTTTACTAATGATACCTACTTAATACAATGAAACATCCAAAATACATAATAAGTAACTTAAAAAAATATAAAACGATTAAATTTGTCTGTGATCTACAAATAGACAATTTATTTTTAACTTAAAAAAGACTAGAAACCAATTTATTTAAAAGCGACGTAAAAAATTACAAAAAAAAAAATACTTAAAAAAACAGAATAACATTGAGCGATGTTTCATTGTGCGTAAGTTTTGGAACTCATTGGTAGATATTTAAAGCTAGACATTATACCATCACAACACATATTTATGGTTTTGTTAATACAAAATATACTTAGATAGGTTCTAATGGCAAAAGAGGTAAGTACATGGGTAAATATTATCCATCAGATAAAAATATGAAGCAAGCAAGCAAGAAAAAAAAGATTTCCCATAATAAACGTTATTGTTACTAAATAAAAGACGTCATGTTATGTTATGTTACTATTAAAAATATATCTAAAGAAATAATCATTCTTAATTATTTATGCAAATAAAAAGTAAAACAACATAATTTACGTTATTATTTTCGCTGGCAAACTAACTCCTATTTGTAACCCACCTAACTCTTTTGCCCGCCATCCATTTAATATTTCACATTTAATATTTTTTTTATACATTTTAAAATAATACACAGAAGGCCGCTACACACAATCAGGGTATTTCACCAATAACTACTATATATTTATTTATATTTAACATCGATTTAAGCTCGAACTAGAAAAATAAAAACAAAACTTGACATTTTTAATAAGATTTCAGAATAACTCTCCTTTCTTCATCCATTTTCATGCAAGTTCCATTTTCATTTTTACTAATTACCAAGACATTTTATACAAAATACTAATTAACATCACTTTATCAGTTACAAAACCATACAATACTTAGTAAACCATTAAATTATATTACAACTTTTTACATACATTTATATTTTATAATTTAAAACCGATTTCTTTTTTTTTAATCGAACACCAAAGACAATTTTTAATGTTGCCTAATAAAAAAATCGGAAATTAAAAATGGCGGGATTATGAAAGCTGATTTATTTTGTTATTAGTAATTTACACTGAGATTTTATCACATTTTATTATTAGCTGCCTATCTACAAGGATTATAAGCGAAGACATTTAGAGAAAAATCTAAGGAGACATTTAGTAAAGCTACACCGATAATTTTAAATATTTTTGCAGCCATTTTAGACACATAATTTTTTTTTTTTATTAAGATTGAATGGACGAAGGAGTTTTGTAAGAGTAGAGAGATAGAAAATATGTATTACGATCTTAATTTTAGGCCACATTTGTTTTTAATTTGCGAATGATTTGAGCAGCCGTTGACTAATTAATGTATTTTGTGTTTGACATTAAATATTTAAGTATGACCGTGAAACGCACTGCTCTCGTCGAATTTTGGTTACGTGCTTTGTAGTGTTTAATTATTTCTGACTTTAATTAAATATCAGTATAATTGTTGTGTTCAATTATTCAGAGAATTTTCGATTGCATAAGCATAACAAAAAGTGGCTAATTTGAATTTGGCTCCTAATATCTGATTTATAATTGAGCATTTATAGTTATACATAAAAATATTGATCTGAATTTTATACATTTTTTAAAGAAATGGCAACCTTCTTTGCATCACTACGTGGTGCTACGCGGTAGACGTGTAGCGCTACGGCGTAGTCGATTGACGTAGCAGTGTTGTACTTGAAATATTGTATTAAATTTATTGTACTATTCTTGTTGTTATACAGTATATCCAAAATATTGTGTTCAACTTGACTTGAGGTGATATGTACCAAATTTATGTAAAGAGATATTTAACCAGAACTTGTATTAAAATGATTTATGAAAATAGTTTTGAAAATCTCTTGGTCAAAATGAAAAAGAGTATGTATTCAGTTATGTATCATAATCTATGACACCTAAGCTTCTACTGAGCATTATTTAGCCCTTAACCTACATGGATAATGTGCCTAAAAGTGTAAAAATTGACTTGCAAGACGAGTTACGATTGCAGTAAAGATAAATCGACTAAAGTTTTAAATCGATTATTAACATTCCACTCTTATTCATTCTCTATTCCTTACTTATCCCCACACCCTCCTTGACTTAATTAGACGGCTTGCCAATCGAGTTATTAGGAAAATCAATGTTCATATTTGATTTTGACGTTCAACATAAAAGTATATTTCAATGCCTTTAGCCAAACGCCACTTTAGCGCTTGTCTACAGAGAGAGTAGAAATCAAAATGTATGGGGATGACAATGACAAGTGTCAAAATTTACGTCAAATGCATATAATATTTTGATTTTCTATTCTTCATGTAGACAAGCGCTAAGTGGCGTTTGCTACAGCTGCAGGTCCACTCAAGACCAGGGTTACCCCGGCTTGAAGCAGGAGTTGGAACAGGGTGGTTTTTAGTCAGTACAAGTTTGATACTCCTTCCCACCTTGGATGGTGGGAGGGAATGTCAAGTGCCAAGTGGGAAAAGGTTCATACATGAAGTTCTTTAATCACTCGTCCGACCAGTTTTTTTTAAAGTTATTTACTTAAGGAGGCTGGACGCAGACGTCTAATTCTCATTTAAACCAAGAGTCGATAGAATAGCTAGTTTTAAAATATTTGGCATACGATTTGGCTTTATAATGATCATGTAAAATATATAATAATATTTGATTGATATTAATTAACATTTGCACTATAATTTACGTGTCTTATTACGTATTTGAGAAACAGAGGTTAATAAGTTAATACACCAACTAAATTAATTGAAAATAACTGTTTATACACAAGAAAGAAAAGGTCAACTGGTTTCAAGTCATAACGGGACTCTTAGTCATGAGCAGCGTGTGTGGCGCGGTGACGTCACGCACGCTGCTCAAGACTTCTTAGTCATTTACGTGAGACGGCAGTTATTTTCAATTAATTTTTTTCACAACAGTTATTACACAAAAATTAACACACAACTAAACTGTAAGCTCTTTATTAGAGATACGATAAATAGTCGAGTTAGTTTAGTCGAGTTTTTAGCTTTGCAATAGTACCTAAAGGTATACACAAATACGCATCGAACTATAAATGACCAGTATGTCCTGGTCTCGATTTGAATGCACTTTCCGTACATTTAAAGGTCGGTTTATACTGTTTTGAAAAAAAGTATTCGAGGGTGGTAATTAAAATTCAATAGTGTTAAAAGGAAGCGAATGAAAAATGTGAAAAAGCTGAAAAGAGAGATTGATTGAATTTATCTCTAATTTGTGCTTTATCTTCGACTAAATATATTGTGAAAAAATTTTTTCCTGTTAAACTATGACAATTAAAGGTAGGAAATTATATTCGACTAATACAACAATATTTTTAATAATACAACTATTTATCCCAGCCCTTAAAAAATGTTATTTTGACACATTCTACTACCATTTCATTTTAATGTTATTCTTATAGAAAACAAATGACACAAGTAGTACGTAAATATTCCAATAGATGGCGCTACATGTATATTTGTTTGATGTTAATTAAATATTGTTTTTAGAATTTGACTGATGCAGGTGTAGCACTATTGATCATGGCTGTGGATTCGATTCCCGATTGTGTTATTTGTTTTCTCGAAACACTTGTTAGTTTCTCGATACTTTTCATCATCGGTAAATTGAAAAGTATTTAAAACCAAAGATAAAAAATTACCTTTCATAAATATACTGATACAAATATGAACAAAAATAAACCGGTTTCTTTAGGAAAACTCAACAAGAAAATACTTTTTATAGAGCTTTAAACAAAATCCATTGCATCACCAACTAACAAAAAAAAAAAAAACAAACAAAAAATAAGAACACCATAAACAATTTCAATATGGCGTCGAATGTGTCAAAACGTTCGCAACGCTAGAAATTCGTTCGGATATTGGGACGGAGTGGCGTTTGCGTTCGGATATACTTATGGAGTCGCCGGTTCTTCTTCCTGATGATGCTTAGCTAGGGCTAGGAGTATCATCGTGAGTTGCTTTCTGCTTATCTTCCCTTCACTGCTGTACTCTACACCTTGGAGGATCGTTTCTTCAAACTCCAGCAGGTCTTGAGCGTCGTAATCCTGGAAAATTTGTTGAAAAAAATCAATTTTAATATTTTTAACTTATTGGTAAAATGAAAGGTGGATGATAATTATTCAGTGTTTCTTCCCAACTGGATATTGATTTTTGTACGTAATATTTTTGTCTGGAATTTGAATTCTCCATTACCATTACCATAATAGTAATAGGGTTCATTATCACGTTAAACGCCATGGGGGTTACCGGGACTGACGTTAGTGGAGGATTTCCCTTCAACAGTTTTCTATCAATAGCAGAAAAACGCTGACAGGTAACAGAAAAACACAGGTGACAGGTAACAATTGTAAAAACTATTTTTATCCACCTTTTTTAAACAGTGTTACGTTTACACCCTGTATAACACGTAAATGTTAGTGTTACAGATTAAAATACGTTATAAGAATAAGTGAATCCCCTTCAGTGAAACTAATAAATCCCCAATATTCAAATACCTAACCCTCAAAAGGCCCGGGGCGAAACTCCGCTGCCGCGCCAGATAAGTGCGTGGCGGGATGAGCTCCGGCGCGATCTCATGGCGGAATGGCAGCAACGACTGTCGCAACCGAGGGCTGGGCTCGCTGCCATTGCAGCGGTAAGTCCCCTCTTCGAGGAGTGGCTTGAGAGACGCTACGGCGTCCTCACCTACCGCCTGACGCAGGTCCTCACCGGACATGGAAGTTTCGGGAGGTACCTGTGTCTGATGGGGCGGGAGGAAACGCCCGGGTGTCATCACTGCGAGGACCGCCCTGAGGACACGGTGGAACACACAGTGGGAGAATGCCCTGCGTGGGCTGAGCACCGCCGTGCCCTCAGGGAAGTGATCGGCGATGGCGACCTCTCGCGTCCGGGCCTAGTGCAGGCCATGATGCAGAGCGAGGGGGACTGGGATGCCGTCTCCTCTTTTTGCGAAGCAGTCATGCTAGCTAAGGAGGAGGCGGGACGCGTGAGGCAGCGAAGCGCTGCCTCCTCGCAACCCAGCCATCGCGAAGGACACACCGGGCGTCGGGGATCGCGGGACGATCTCCGGCCACCGTAAGCGCGGGCCTGCGGACGGCGAGCATGGGTCCCCCGAGCCCGTCCGACCAGAAACAGACCCGAGCGTACGGCGCGCGCGGAACGCGACGCGCCGTACGCTCGGGTCTGTTCGGTCTGTCCGGTCTCAAAGAGCCATCAGACCACCACAGATGGGGCCCAATAGGGCCGATGCCGATTCGGAGTCGCGGAGAACCTAACGGGTAACCGGGGCTCCGGCTCGACGTGCAGGAGAAGGAACGGGGTGGTTTTTAGTCAGTAAGAGTCTGACACTCCCTTCCGCCTCACCCAGGCGGGAGCAGTCATTCGACGATTTTCCCCCGTTAAAAAAAAAAAAAACCCTCAAAAGGCCGATAATGTACTTGTAATTCCTCTGGTGTGCATGTCCATGACGACGACGATTGTCTACCATTAGGCTATCCATCGTTTGCCACAAACAAACAAAGGCAATTTCAAAACAATCGTGTTCCACACTACTTCACAAAAACTAAAAAAAGAAACACTAAAGTAAGTGGACTCCAGTCCAAACTTTTTTAACTCGATTCCTCAATCGAATAAGGTTAGAAGAAAATACGAACCTTTTTAACTAATTCTAATAAATCCTTCAGGAAACCCCGGAGCTCTTCGTTCTCGATCGAGCCATTGTTATCCTGAAACAGTTTTCAAAGACTTCGTTATGTAACTTGAATTGGATTTTCCTGACAAACTTTCTATTATTCGAATTTATCGTTAACTATCTGTGATGTAGGATATCGGGAAGATTTTGTATTAAAACGCAGTTAAACATTTGATATAGTTGTTGTCAAATTAATGTAAAGAATAATGAATTATAACTAACTCTATGATGACATGACTTGATATGATCAAGACAAGTAGGTACACGATCTGTAATTAGCCAATTTAACTCGTTAAGTACCGTCATTATAGACACAACTAAAGAACAATAGGTTGCGGTCACCGGTGTCCGCAACCGATATGAAAATACGACGTAGGTAGTTCAGGATTAGTAAATACTTTTTATTTTTTGTATTTATAGACATTTGAATAATATGTTCATACATAATGTATGTACATACATATAATGCAACTGTAAAATATACCCGTAGGTACTTGTTACTAAATACATACTTTTTATAAAATATTTTTTAAAGGGCAAGCCTACTAGGACATCTTAAAATCGATGTATATTATATTCTACTGTAACTTGATACAACAATGAAAACACCGAAACAATGAAGTCCGGGTTACAGGGATGAAAATGTCTTGGAAATCCAAGACATTTATTGTAACAAACAAACAAACATACAAACATACAAGTTCACATACACATGACACCCAGACCCGGAACAACAATTTGTGGATCGCACAAAGTGTTGTCCCGTGCGGGAATCGAACCCGCGACACGTTGCACGGCAGCCGGTTGCCCAGCCACCGCACCAACCGTGCAGTCGTAACGAAATAAACCAGAAATTATTTTTAGACGAGTAGATGCCTAATTTTTAATTTAATGTCAGTCTTGTAGATTATTTTAAATCATTAGACACGTATTTTTTTTTCTTACAGAAACGAATACATTCGACGATATATTGATTTGAAATATTGCGTAACGTCACTTCTATGTACATTTTATACGTAGAAATGACGTTTTAGCCCCAACTCCTAAACTTTGATTCGTTTTATCTAAGTATTGATTTATTATACGACAAAATAAAAAAATACGTGTCTAATATTTTTTCATTAACTAACTTACGGACTAATTAGATTTTTAATTTTCATATCCTGTCATCATCTCACTCGACTTCCCTCGGTGAATTAAATGCGGTGGGCTAAATAATTATATTTATAATATAGAAATGACGAATCTTACCCTATCATACAGTGAGAAGACCCTTTCGATGTCGTCTTTTGTAAGTTTTGTTGCGCCCTGATAATAGAAATGAAGATATTAGTCTCTGGTAAAACATTGATGAAAAAAGCCAAAATCAAATTCAGTGTCGATAATCGATACTATCGAATCGACATAAAACAAAATGTATGAGGTTTTCTTATTGTCATATATCTAAGCCACGTGGTTAAAAAATTTCCCATACCGTCGCATCGTTTCCGATTACCGATTTTATCGATAATCGATACTGAACTTGAACCGAATCGAAATAAAACAAAATGTTTGAGGATTTCTTATTGTCATATACTATAAGTCACGTGGTTAACAAAGTTCCATTTTGTTTCGTTTACAAAGCTTTACCGATTTTAGGTCCTTATAAAGCCCGTTTTCACCAACCTCTTTGAAATATTAGGGAAATCCTAGGCTAAAATAGGTTTACAACTTTTTGATTTCCACCTACCTTTAAATTACACTTAACTTAGGTGTTAGTTTAAGTGGTCCCTCAAGCTGAGTAAGTCTTAGTTAAGAGATAGTTTAGGAAGGGTTGGTTAAAACGGCCATTAATCAACTTAGATACCTTTGCTGGTCCCATGTTGGGCGTCATAATTCTCAAAAATTGCATTATAGAGGTATAAAGAGAAAATATATTTGAAATATGCAAATAAAAAGTTTAAATAGAAAATAAAGTATTATTAAAACAAAATCTAGTTTAGTTTTTAATGCATTGCTTCTACAACTAAGTTAGTTAAGTATTTATCTATTAGGCTAGATTTTAAGATATTTTTAAGCTGTATTTGTGTAACTGTTAAGAGAAAAGTGACGAAGCGTTTAGACGTTGGCCATGTTTACCATAGAGTAATAGAAATGTTTTAATAACCTCTTAATTGTCAAATGCGTCCTATAATGTGTAATAATAATGAAGGAATGATCTTCAATAGTTTTTTCGATAATTATAGAATAACAAATCAATAATTTCGTATTTCGAAACCATTTTTTCTTTAAAACTATCGGCATAGAATTCAAAAACCATTGCAAAAAGGTAATTTTTTTCATTGTTTTGAGGTTATGTCTTTTTTTTTAAGTTTTGGCTAACGTGTAAACGCATCGCGAGGACTCACCTCTATGCCCTCCTAGGAGTGCAAAGTGCAGAGACAAGCGTTAGTGTCAAGACAGATAGATAGACAGACAGGCAAAGTAATTACAGTAACGTGCTTTTTAGATTATTATTATTTAATTTCCATTTTTTTATCAATGTTCATTGTTCAGGCACGTGAATTTGGAGTTATTTGTTGTAAAATCTAGTAGTTTATGTCTTCTAAGGACATTAAATTGTTTTTATGGCAAGATATTCATTTTTTTAAACTGTTCTGGTACCTAGATTTTAATTTTGTTTATGAAGATTGGTTTCCTTAGGTACCCATAAACTTAAATACCTAAAAAGTTAAATAATCTATGGTTTATGACCATCTAGGGTCTACGTGCCATAAATATTTATAATCTATATTTACATGATGTATGTATGTGTGAGTGTAGAAATGTATGATTGTGTGAGTGACAGCAATTATTTTATTTATTTTTAGTCATTTTATCATTTTATTTTATTAGAAGCAAAACGAAATGGAAGGGAAATGAGTGCTTGCTAATCTAAAATAAAATCTAGTTATGGATGCTCAAGAAAATAAAGGTTCTACGAAAACTTTAGGTACAATAACTAACAAAAAAACTCGAAATAAAACTGATGTAACATGTAGATATGTAGTTGTCAATTATTAACAGATTTCATGTTATAGACACATTATAAACTTATAAAAAATATTTTCGTATAATACAAAACAAAAAAGAATTCGAGTAAAAAGACCTGATTTTAAAAAAGTATAATAATGGAACAAAAAAAAAATAACAATATGGCGGTCTCTTTGGTAGCACAATATGGCGTCGGTTGAATATTGTTGGCGGGAAATGAAACGCCACTCACCTTGAAGACTTGTCGACATAGGAAGTTCTCCTTGACAGGCAGCAGTCTGGAATATGCGAACATTATTATAAATATCTTGTTTAATTAAAATGAAAATGGCTAGAATTTTAGGCCTTTATATTGAATTGCTATTTTATGACAGTGTAGGTTATGTTGTTGCGGGGGAAAAGCATCAAATGACTTCTTCCCGCCTTGAGTGAGGCGAGAGAGAGTTTCAGTTTTAGAGATTAGCCAGTACAAACAGACAGACAGAAAAAATTGACATTATGGTATAGGTATCATATCTTTATATATATAATTCTGCTGTACGTGTGTATGCCATTGAACTCCTCCTAAACGGCTTGACCGATTTAAATGAATTTATCCGTACGCTATTGTGAGGCGCCCTGGATGGTTTAGATTCACAAATCAGCCCGGCAGATGGCGCTGCAGTTGTTGTCTAGGCACAGACTGCGCACACAGCGCCATTTAGGCCGTTTAGGATTTAGGCTTATTTAGGATTTAACCTAGGTTATTTATCCTAAACGGCTAAACGGTTAAACTAATTTGAATGAATTTTTGTTTATATATTCAATTGGATATGCAGGACAACGTCTGTCGGGTCCGCTAGTACATTATATAGCTATATTTATAGTATTCATATACATGTAGTACAAAACGGTTATTTCAATATTACAAACATACACTCCAATTTGATTTATCTGTGTAGATAAAACAGATCATCAGATTGATAATATTGCATTTGTGTCAAAGATAATAACTAATTGACAATGGATTCCACAAACTAATTTTGTCAAGGACAGTAACTTAATGATATTTGTGATTACTATGCGTGGTAAGGTCGTGTATACCGCATGGTCGCAAGTAGAAAGCTAAAAAAAGTACCTGAGCAGTAAGTAGGTACTTTTTTAAATTGATTCTCAAGGTTGCATGTTCTACTTTTTTTATAGAAGATTTTTTTAGATTGGTTTGTGATTTTGTTTATTTAAGTACTGCGCCATTATCAACTGGGACTGGTCAGCTCATAACATAACATAACATAACATCACGCCTTTTACCCCGAAGGGGTAAGCAGAGATGATAATGTGCATATTACGGCACTTAATACCACTGTACAATGTACACCCACTTTTTACTATTTATGTTACGAGTCCCATGTAATAGGGGGTGAGCCTATTGCCATATACCGGGCACATTCCAAACTTCGTGCTACTACTGAGAATTAGTCAGCTCCAGACTGTATTATTTTACTGCCTTTAAGATTATTTTCTTATCCGATCTCTTTGTCTGGATTTTGGTGTTACTTTGTTCTCACACAATTGAACCAACAAAACTATGTAACTAAAGAATTGTATTGTGAACATGATTGAAAAAAACCGATAGAGTTTCTTGCTCGTTTTTCTCCATATGATTTTAGACCTCGGAATGAGCAAATATGTAGCACCTTCCTGGTCTAATTAAAATATTGTATTGTCATATTCTATTGTAATTTGTCATGGTCATGTCATGTTTAAAAGTAAGTAAGTAAAAAAAATAATCTTAAGCCTATTTTATTTTGTTGCATTATGCACCTTATAGTACAAGAGACAAGATTGTTATTCATTCACACAATGAAATAGATTACTACAATAACATCTTGGTTTTCTAAGAAAAAATAAATACTAAATTGTTATTAGAATATCGCGTAAACATTATATTTCTGCGTCTGTGGACTTTTTATCTTTATAATAAGTTTAACTGTTATATTCGTACATAGTAGAGTTATATTATTATTATATTTTTTTTCTTTTTGGCAAAGGAGTCTCCAATACAGTGTTGTCGACTATACTGCCAGTGTCGAGTGGTGACGGTAGATTATTGGGCCTTAACTGAACTTTGTGGTAGTTTTAGTTGTTAATAAAGTTATATTTTAATATTATTTTCATTTATAAATTTAGAAAAACACTTAATTAATTTATTTTCTCAGTTAAAGACATGACAACTCTCACTACAAATCCCCCTTTAAAAGTTTTTATTTGCAAAAAGGTCTATCAAAGGAGTACCCAATCTTGAAAGGGACACGACGTAGGTACTCAAAATAAGTATAGTCAAGTTTGGACCTCCTTAAGTACCTACATGAAAGCCTTCCTAAGAAACTCTTAGCGGTCCTTCTAGTTTCGGGACAAAGAAAGATTGAATGATTTATCAATAGAAATGAATCTTTTATGTTTTTATGTAGCCATTACATTTTTTTTATTTAAACCTTTCTTATCAGGCAACTATGGCACATAGATAAGTAGCTTACAGACTAGCATAAATTTTATACTATTATATGTATAAGGCGGAAGAGTTTGTTTTTTTGTTTGGTTGTTTGAACACTCTAATCTCCATAACTACGAGTCTGCTTTGAATAATTCTTTTTGTGTTGGATAGCGCATTTAGCGAGGATGGCTGTATGCTATAATACATCATGCTACGACCAATAGGAGCTGAGCAGAGCGAGTGAAACCGCGCGTATATGGCAATAGGCTCACCCCCTATTACATGGATGATAAATAGTGAACAGTGGGTGTTACTTCTGTGTGCACCTCTGCCTACCCCTTCGGGTATAAAAAGGCGTGATGTTATGTTATGTTCAATAAATACTCTCGGACAAGGTCAGGGCAGGTCAATTTTTTCCTGGATCAACTCGTATGACGTCATAACCCAGTATCGATCAATATCCATATAGAATTTAATTTTAATCTCATCCGATCGACATAAGCTTCAGTTGATTAAAATTTATATTAAACTTTTTAGGTTTAAACCTTTTTAGATGGGGTAGTATTAATAATTAAAATTTTGATTGTTTTGAGAGCCTTTTAATAACAATGGTTTCGAATTAGTTTCGTTCGGTCGACTCGTTTAAATACTTCAGTCGAGTGGGACCAACAAAAAATATCCATTTTTTTATGACTCTTATTAAACACCGCGAGGACACCGGTGACCGCAACCTATTGTTCTTTAATTGTGTCTATAATGACGGTACTCAAAGGGGACCTTGTAATGTCGTTGTGGGCCGGAGGTTAAGACACCCGCTTATCATGTATGAGGGCGTCGTCTCGGTTCAAAACCTACCAACGGCAAGTACCAATGTAACGTTTTCCGAGTTATATATACTTTCTAAGATTATTCAGACACCACTGACAAACGGTGAAGAAAAACATCGTTTGGAAACCTGGACTTACAATTTCTAATTATAAGTTTGAATTCGCTAACCCGTTGAGCAACCGTGGTGATTAATGCTCAAACCTTTTCCCTGCGAGAAGAGACCCTTGGTCAGCAGTGGACACTTAAAGGCGATTGATGATTGATTAGAATATTATAATTTCACATGCACGTCACACCCAGGCCCGGGAAAACTTCATCATCCTAATTTTCGATGACCTAGCTGCTATCTCGAAGCCCCTTGCCAGACATGTCATGAGGTGGTTTTTAGTCAGACTCAGAACGGGAGATGCGAGAAAGCTATGGTAGATTTTTTTGTCGCGGAGAACCTAACGGGTAACCGGGGCTCCGGCTCGACGTGCAGGAGAAGGAACGGGGTGGTTTTTAGTCAGTAAGAGTCTGACACTCCCTCCCGCCTCACCCAGGCGGGAGCAGTCATTCGATGATTTTTCCCCCTTCAAAAAAAAAATGGTAGATTTTTGTAAAACCCCTCATTGTGAAAAGCCTTTGGGAGAAAGGTTTTTTTTGTTTTTTCTTTTTTGGCAACTGAGTCTCCAAAACGGTGTTGTCGACTATACTGCCAGTGTCGAGTGGTGACGGCAAAATTAGGGAGAAAGGTTAAAGGTAGTAAATATTTTTACGGTAATGAAGTGATAACCATAAGTTGACGTGGTGCACACAATCTTCACACCAAATATATGAACGATAACGGTCATTCAAAATAATAGATAGTATATTATAAATATAATCTAATCTACATTATAATACCGCGATTATTGTACAGATTCATATTGATTACTTTTTAATTGTCTTTTGTTATCTTTGATTGACATAGTTCTTCCCCCAAAACAGACTGTAGGAACACAAAATTCGACCTTCATATTTTATTATAAGTTATGTTTTTATATGCGAAAATAGATAATTGTGTTAATAGGTAATTGGGTTTCATAAAGATAAATGACAAGCACTTTTTGTAACCGCTACCTAATTTTATTTTTTAGTACAAGTATATTGTATTCAAGGACGAAACAATCGGACTATACTTTTTTTATTTTAAAAAAACGTTGCCCCACACTAGGATTTTCTCCTGTGTCGTGGGTACGTTTACAAACATACAAGTTCACATACACAATGACACCCAGACCCGAAACAACAATTTGTGGATCACACAAAGTGTTGTTCCGTGCGGGAATCGAACCCGCGACACGTTGCACGGCAGCCGGTTGCCCAGCCACCGCACCAACCGTGCAGTCTTTCTACACCGGTAACGGTAGTATTTGTGGAACTTTGTTAATTTTAAGATCTGTGTGTACCATGTACTGAGAAATAAATGACATTCATTCATTCAGATAACCGACATTTTTATTAGCTTTTGCCAGCGGCTTTGCCCGCGATCCCATGGATGTTATTTCAGACCTACCTCCGCACCAAATTTCACTTCTATCCCTTCAGCCATTTTGACGCGAAGAAGTAACAAACACACAAACAAACAAACTTTAGCATTTATAATAACAGAACACCAAGCCTTTTAACCCCGAAGGGGTAGGCAGAGGAGCACATTACGGCACTTAAATCCACTATACAATGTAGGTAACACCCATTTTTCACTATTTATGTTATGAGTCCGATGTAATAGGGGGTGAGCCTATTGTCATATACCGGGCACATTTTCAGCCTCCGAGCTATTACTGAGATTTTTTTAGTAACCCAGTATAACTTTGCCCGACGCGGAAATCGAACCCGTGACCCTTTGCTGGACAGTCGCACTTGCGACCACTCTGCCAACTGTATTTATAATATTAGTAGGATAAAGCTCTTGTTGGAATAATGCTTACGGCCTATCTGATGGTAAGCAGACACTGTAGGTTATGGACACATAACACCAGAACATAACATAAAAATAAAAATGCAGTGAATAATAGTAAAGAAAATAATATTCGATACTTACTTGGCCATTTCCGATAGTTGCAATCTCCCATCCTTGTTGGAGTCAAATACTTGTAGCTGTGAACATAGAATTATGTATTTAGATAAAGACTAGTTAAATCGTTTAATCCTATCCATTTCTTTTATTAAACCAAAATTATTTAGTAGGAATCTGCAGACAGTGCAGACTGCGAAAGTGTGACATAGAATAATTCAATAGATTTAAGTGTGGGAGAACCATGCTTCGGCACGAATGGGCCGGCTCGACCGGAGTGATACCACGGCCTCACAGAAAACCGACGTGAAACAACGCTTGCGTTGTGTTTCGTTGTGTGAGTGAGGTTACCGGAAGCCCAATTACCCCCTCCCTAGTCCCCGTCTCCCGAATCCCCGAATCCTCAAATTACCAATTCCCAAAAGGTCGGAAACGCACTTGTAACGCCTTGGTGTTTCGAGTGTCCGTGGACGGCGCCGATTGATTACCATCAGGTGATCCGTCTGTTTGTTTACCGGCTTATGCTATAAAAAAATCCACAGTTCAGTGCATTGCACCGCTTCATAATTGCGCTTCTACATCGCTCGAGCAGAACGTCACATAAGCGAGGGGGCTCCATGAAGACATCCCCCTTACAATTAAAAAATCCCATGTTTAACTTTTTTAGTAGGGATCATATTAACTGACCCCTCCCACCCTGGGTGAGGCGAGATGGAGTGGTAGATTGTCGAAAAACCACCCCTGAATGGGGTACTCCTGCTCTGAGTTGAGGCTGCAGTAACTTACTGTTTGCCATAACCGTTTAAAATCAATGTAACAATAATGTGAAGTCACCTTTCATTAGCAGTACATTATAATATATCTTCTAAGTACCTAACGCTTCAAGGTAGACAAAATTACGACGTACTGTGAAACTTAGGTTCTTCCCTAAATGCTATGACTACAAAGGTCATTATGCAACTAGGCCTAGGCCAATGAGAGTATAAAGCGATAGTTATCTCTAATTGTCACTAATTATACTAATCGTTGTGATCTGTGATGACCAATAACTTTTATCGCGGATTAAATGTCGATAGAATAAAACATTAATTTGTTTTACTAAATTACTATCTATTGTATCTGTGTTCTAATATATATTGTCTTTTGTTTTGGCCTATATCTGAAAAGAATTGTTATAACATACTATTTTTTTTTATTTACCATTTTTCATTACTCTTAACCGGCTTAATTGACAACTAATCTGTATCATTGTCATATTTAATTAAAACTCAGACACAGAATTTCAAACAAACATTTCTAAAAGCATTAAAACCGTTAATATTAGGCTATTTTTTCCAAACAGGGACTTAGTTCTTACCTGTCTCCCAATAATTCAGTGTATCAATGAACAAATATGTCTGTGTGTACGTACCATAGTGTCTGTATATTCAATGAGTTTGTCCTCTGAAACGTCATTAATTTTCTTCGCTTCCTTCAAGAGGTCCCGGAGAAAATTCTGTAAAAAAACCGTATCAGATTAAATATTAATTTTTATTGATAAGGCTTCAAAGTTGGCTTATGGTAAGCGAACAATTAAGTAAAACACATTTTTGGGGTAAAAAATCGTCCTATGACATCTACCGTTTTGGGCGAGGTGAAATGGAGTGTCAAACCATTATTTCGGTAAATAAATACATTACACCACATTAGTATGTTCTCCTGAGTGGTTGGTGCGCTGACAAATATACAAGTTGACATACACATTACACTTTTGTTTTTTAAGCGGGTAAAATCTTCGTATTACTGCTCCCGCCTGGGTGAGGCGGGAGGGAGTGTCAGACTCTTACTGACTAAAAACCACCCCGTTCCTTCTCCTGCGCTTCGAGCCGGAGCCCCGGTTACCCGTTAGGTTCTCCGCGACTCCGAATCGGCATCAGCCCTGTTGGGCCCATTCGTGGTGGTCTGATGGCTCTTTCGTACGCTCGGGATACATTCCGACCTCTAAATGTAGGAGAATCATGCTTCGGCACGAATCCGACGGCCGACCGGAGTGATACCACGGCCTCACATAAGACCGACGTAAAACAAACGCTTGTGCTGTGTTTTGTCGTGTGAGTGAGGTTACCAGAGGCCCAGTTATGTGGAGTGGTGTTTGAGTAATTGGACCTAAGTAATTCAAACTCTAACGCTCTATTACCTTAGTCCTTCAAAACCGAGGTTATAGTTAAAAATACTGATGTCAAATTTCTTTTTAATCTTTTTTTTATCTATATTAATATGAACAATACCTAGTTTCAATGAACTAATAAGAGGGGAAGCACTTAAAATGTTACCTACTTATTATTTTCCACTAATTGTTGATTTAGTAACTGATAGACAATGTATGACTGCAATTATTGATTGTAGAAAACTGTAACATATTATAACAAAAAAGTAGGAGATCTGTCTCACGATAGTTAATATTAGTGAGGCTGAATCAACTACTAGTCAAAGTCAAAGTCAAAGTCAAAGCATTTATTTCAATTAAACCATAGTTTGGTACTTTTGAAACGTCAACAAATACAAAATAAATAATAGTCTGTCAGTCAGTCCGTCAGTGAAACTAGGTGAAGCTAGGTCGAGTCATTTATTATTTTCAGTCTGTTTCTAGTGGATCGGGAAAAATAGGACGTTTTATTTACACGTCGGGTTTCACCTAGTTTTGAAAAAGCAGGTTATTATACGCGTACTTAGTTAATGGTGATATCTAGTGAGATGAAACTACATAATATCAGTATAATCATGTGCCGAATACATGTTTTTTTATGGGGGAATATCATCGAATGACTTCGCCCGCCTTGGCTTGGCGGGAGGGAGTGTCAGATTCTTACTGACTAAAAACCACCCCGTTCCTACTCCTGCACTTCGAGCTGGAACCCCGGTAAACCGTTAGGTTACGAGAATCATTTACTAAGTTTGAAAAGATGATAGTATAAATCTAGGTAGGTATTTCATTAATAATAACAATTTACCTTCAGTTCATCGGCTTCAATATATCCGCTGCCGTCCGTATCGTATTCGCGCCAGATCTGAAATGTTGTGTATGTTTGTATTAATTAATAGTTTATTCTATACATACATTTTTATAATAAGATGTGATTACGTGATTTAAGAAAAGCTTAGTACATACGTCGTCCTGTATTGAATAAATAGTGCGGTACTTTCTAACTATTCAAATTCAATATGTAGGTGAAACAACGCTTGCTTGTGTTTTGTCGTGTGAGTGAGGTTATCGGTGGCCCACTCCCCCCCCATTTGTGAATCTCCAACAATCCTCAAATTCCTAAGCCCCAAGTAACGCATTTGTAACGCCTCTGGTAGTCCAGGTGTCCATGGGCGACGCCGATTGCTTACCACCAGGTGATTCGTCTGCTCGTTTACCGGCTTATGTCATAAAAAAAGTATGCCGAAATGTCAAAAATGATAGTTTATGTACGTAATTTTAAACGATGATGATGAATAATACGTAAACTAAATCAACAGAAATAATAACTAATGTTTATAATATTATATTTTTGAATATTATGTCATTGTACTGAGAACTTGAAACATTATTTATTTAACTGATCAAGAATAATACCCAATAGTAAAACTTCCCCATCGACGTTTACCAAAATACGTACGTTTACCAAAATATTTTATACAAAATTCATACAAAAGTAGTGTCTAGACATTGGTCCGTAAAAATGGGTGAGAGGACACCGGTATTCCATCTGCATCATCTAGATTAAATATTTTGTATATTTTGTCATCTAAATATCTTTGGATTAAAATCGATTTTTAAATTACCGATATTTAATATCAAAATCAATGTCTTATCAGACATATTGGATGAAGATTGATTATTTAAATTTATTTTAATCCCTTAAAGCTTAAGAACTTACACGTAGTCTTTGGATTACTGCTTAAAATGAGTACTAATATGTATAATCACCTTCATAAATTCCACACTGGATTCCAAAGGATTGTCGAACCTAAAGAGGAGAAGGAAGTTCTCCTCCATCGGAAGCAATTGTGCCAGCTGCAACAAAAAAAGAAAATGGATTGTGGAACAATATAAAAAGGAAATAAACATAATAATACTAATTGAATTATAACTGCCTCGTTGGCCGAGTGGTCGCAATTGCGACTGCCGGGCAAGGGGTCGCGGGTTCGATTCCCGGGTCGGGTTCCCGGGTCGGGGAGTATTACTGGGTTTTTAAAAATTCTCAGTAGTAGCACGGAGTCTGGAACTGCGCCCGATATTATGGCAATAGGCTCACCCCCTATTACATGGGACTCATAACATAAATAGTGGAGAATTGGTGTCACATTGTACAGTGGTATAATGTGCACCTCTGCCTACCCCATCAAGGATAAAAGGCGTGACCTTATATTATGTTGAATTATAATTTGGCGAATTATTCCTTTTCTTACTACTACGACAATTTTCACAAAAACTGAAAAAGCATTTCTCAAATCGATAATTGAATACCGATTCGAATCGATTGAATATCGATTTATTTAACAATATTAAACCAAAATCTTTGGGTTGATACTTAAAATCAATTTTTGTATTGTACCGTATTTGTTTGGAGTTTCTGTCAAAAACCTAGATTAATTTATTTGATATACAGATTAATTTCGACTGATAAACATTAATTTCGACTGATACAGAAGTTGATGCTTTTTCGGTCGATCAATTGATAAGATTTTTATCTGATGGACATTACATTATACAATTATCACAGTAAACAACATAACAGATAGACTATGTACTGAACTATCAAAATCTGAAATACTATACATATAATAGACAAAACATTAGCCATTATCAAGATTATATTAAGAATTAAAACGGATGTTAATTGGTCAGTTTAAATTTTGATACGATTAAATTATTATTGTCTTTATCATACATCAATTTACGTTTTTATGTATTAAATAAGTTGTTTTAACATAGAAAAAAACATAATTCAACAATATGCATTTCCATTAGATTAGCAGATGTGATCAACTTTTAGTTATTTTTTTTTTAATGGGACAAGCACGCCACATCCTCCCAATACCGCTGCAACTCCTGTAAGCCTGATCTACAGTAGATACAACCATGAAAACACCGGAACACTGAAGTCCGGCGCGTCCCAGGGACATGAGTAACTGTCTTGGTTCTCGCAACGAAGTGAATCAGAAGATATTATAAGAGGAGAAGAAGAAAAAACTATAGTTTCCACTTCCCTCGATGAATTACTGCAGGAGACAGAATGAATTAAGCCTAAAGGCACAAAGAAGAGACTGTACAACTGGGTGAAGCCCAGTCGCCAAGCACCACGGAAATGACAATGACCAAATTTGTATGGAGCGTGGTGCCTTTTCATTTTTTCGCGGCAGTTGATCGGATGTGGAAAAATAGATGCAGAAGAACATTACAAATAAAAAATGTATTGGGTCTTATATCAAAAACACAGTCCAAACCGAGTTAAATCAGTTCAAAGATGTGAAAATAGTGCTATATAATTCCTTTGATTTTGTTGATGGTGACCGTACACATCGCATATTTCTTCATTTACTTGTCAGAAATATTTTGTAATAAATGTTTATAGACGATTTTAAGGAATATAATTAAGCTTATTATGGACTTTTATAATTATTATTTTTTTGTTTATTTCTTTTTTTTTTGTTTTAAGGCCACGGATTCAGAACAGAGTGATCCATTAACTGACCATTGCTGAAGAAAAAAAAACATTTCGTTTGATTGACTAGCATGTTCAATTTATATGTTTATGTATTTATAGGTACAATTTATATATTTATAGGTTTATGGCCTATGACAGATTTTCATGATCAATTTCCTCTCAGTCAAAAACCCGCAAAATACTTTACTGAGCCCTGTCATGAAATGCTATGTTTGTCAGCTGCGGCGTCGGTAGCGGATTGAGTAGTAACAGTCATCAAAACACGAAAAAATCATTTTTATGTCTACTTCTCCTGACTTACTTCCGATTAGTAACTAATCTAACTACAGTTAATACTTTAATCTACATCTAGCATAAGATTCTGTACAAAGACATCGTCATTCAGTCACAAAGTGATGCATTTCGAATGATCACATTATATGAAAAAATTATGCGCTCATCTGACGTATAGTCCATCACTTTACAAAGCCGACGGTTTGCTTTTTTCAAAAAATTATGCTAACTATAAAGTAGATGAGTCTCCCACCAGGAGTCAACGGCAAAAAAATACTTTATTAGATGTTTGGACGGCTACAACTACTCAACCCACCAACGGTACCACAGCTGACACTCATGAAACTTCATGTCACAACTCCTAGAAGCATCCCACAAGTTATCGACTGAGAGAAAATAGCTAATAAAAATTATCGACTGACAATATGGATATGTTGTGGTGTGATTTGGTGTTTCTGTGCCCGGCGTACAGTGATGCGCAATTTGAAGTTAGGAATTGTGACAGAAATATGAATAATTTGAATAAAACAACAAAAGTAAAATGTTTGATTCCAGCTTCTTTCAACGCTCATAACTCAGTCCAGACTGAGATTTCCATATATGAGCCCATAGACAATTTCGTTTGTAATGACATTCTAGATAATATTTTCCATAAATCATCGACTGCCGCCAGAAAAAAGAAAGGCACCAATTTTAGTCAATGCCCTTTGACTGATAACTTTTAGTTAGTCAAATCCATGTGCTTCATTACAATATTATGATGATCATAAAATTTCTTCACACAGAGTACAATTCCTGTCCAGGAATCAATTCCGAGAAACCTTAATAGGCAGTTACGACTCCTGTACGTGACTTGAACCTCAATGAATATTACGTAACAATCACTTTTCTTCAGTTATGTTACAAGTCTCGTATAACAAGAGAGGCAAACGCTCAAACAAAACAATAGGCGGCCTATAAATGACAAATGTCTATAAACAATGATAACTGTCCACGAAACCTGTATATGTAAGCTGCGCCTAATATTTAACTAAAAGTGACAACCCTAAGACAGTAGGCAATTATATCGCGGATTGGGAAGAAGATGGCCTACTTCCCTTTTCTTTATACTATGACGAAACGGTAACTTGAAATACACTTACTGTTTTTGACGAATGCAGGCATTAATGAAATGTCGCCACATGGACAGTACCTACTCATAACAACGAGAAAAAAAAATAAAAAATATTTCTATGTATTAAAGTATTTACCTCACGAATGTCAATTTTTCCATCTTGATTGTCATCATAGGCCTCCATGAAGCACGCTTTCAGTTCCACCAGCATTTCATCCGACACCGCCTGCGAAAGAAGAGAAAAAAGGTTTTAAGTAAATTGCAAAACCTATTTGGCAAGACTGACACAATCACAGATAAAAAAGAGCGGGAGCTTTTTGCAAAGTACAAAGTAAAGGAGGTTTTCCTAAATAGAATCTGAATAAAATACGTTTTCTTAATTTAAAAATGTATTCGGATAATATCACACTGTATAAGGCTGAGGTTGATAACACTTAACAACATTTTGGTTTTCACTAACTTACAATGGGGTTAGTTTAAGAGCTATCTTACGTTAAGTAACTCTTAGGTCTTGCACCATCTGTTAGCCGATTAATGTGAATAAATATCGATTTTGTTTTCCTATTACTCCCATAATAATAGGGGTAAGTTTATTGTAAGATATCTGGCAAGGTTAACCTGTTTTTCAAGAAAAATGCTAAAAAATATCTAGCGGTATAAATCAGTACTAAAACCCTCTGGCAATATACCACAAAAAGTGTCACAATGGAACTCTAACTCTAAATTCTGAATTTGAATTTAAATGTAGGTTTTGCTTGCGTAAGTTCCGTTTGCAGCGGTGGCCATTGTTCAGCAGCGGGAGCTTGAATGGGAAGCAATTTTAAACTTAGAACGCCAGCTCGCGTCGCCCCGGTCTGTCCGGATTTGGAATTAAATTCTGAATTTCGAATGTAACGTTTTGAAATATGAATTTTACTCTTTGTTAAAATGAATACTGGCTGAATAAGTTTTGTGCTTTGGTCTGCTTGGGTTATTATAACGATGCCATATTTTTAGTTTGTGGTAGATAAGGTTGCGGAATGTATATTACACCACAGATTAAAAATGTGTTTTACGTAGGTAGTTTGAAAATATTTTTATTGTTTTATATAATAATAATATAATGTGTCATCACGCTTTTTATTCTTGAACGGGTAAGTATAGGAAAGAACAATGACTCGGTTAGGAAGAGTACCTACAACCCCTAAGATTTTGATCAATGTCAACAATCATATTGCAAAAAATGATGAGCGTCCCTAAAATTTTTGTCAATGTTAAAAACCACATATCGCAAAAATTGATGAGCGAAACCAATATAAAAACAAATCGATATAAAATAAATCTTTTCAAATCTTCTGATAATAAATAATGGAACGATTGATGATAACTTACCTACTAATTGTATTTGTAAGATAATAATATAAGTGCCATTACAGATTTATGTACTTATAATAGGCAATAAAAAATAATATCTAATTGCGTCTCATTATTATGAAGGGAAGTAAATTCGTAAGGAATAGTGTGTTGTATTATTATGTAATTGGGATGATGACGGTATAAAAATAAAAACCTAATTAGTCCGTCCGTCAGTTAGGTAATGAAAATATAATTATTAGACACGTATTGTATATTTTGTCGAATAAGAAAACAATACTTAGATAAAACGAATCAAAGTTTTGGAATGGTTACCTTTAACTACGTAATTTTAGAGTATAAATCGTACTCAAAAGTGACGTCATGCGATATTTCAAATCAATATAATCTTCAAAACTATTCGTTTTCGTAGGTAAATAAAAAATACGGGTCTAATGTTTTTAAATAATCTAGACAGACATTAAAATAAAAATTAGTCGTCTAAATTAGCCCCATTGTGTGGGAGAATGAGTTGGTCTTTTTTATCTACGTTTGTTTACTGAAAACATAAAATAAGTAGTATATTACTGAAATATACTACTTATTTGTTATCAGAGTATTTAGCGATTATGTATTGGTAGATAATTGTACTGATAAGGAGTAATTGCTTTATAATTTCGACTGTCTATTAAAATCTTATTCCGATAACTCTTACAGTACGTATATGTCTCATTTCATACATATAATTTTGTTTTAGCTTTGTGTTGGTTAAAATTTACTGGATTATTTGAACTTGTTGTGTTCGTCATCACTGTTAAAATCGTTTTTTGGACTTTAAATAACTGGTCAAAGCTCGATTAAAGTATTTAAAAAGCAAGAATTGGAAACGACTGCCTCGTTGGCCGATTGGTCGCAATTGCGACTGCTGGGTAGAGAGTCTCGGGTTCGATTCCCGGGTCGGGCAAAGTATTACTGGGTTTTTAAAAAAAATCTCAGTAATAGCACGGAGTCTGGAACTGTGCCCGGTATATGGCAATAGGCTCACCCCCTATTACATGGGACTCATAACATAAATAGTGAAAAGTGGGTGTTACATTGTACAGTGGTATAATGTACACCTCTGCCTACCCCTTCGAGGATAAAAGGCGTGATGTTATGTTATGTGGAAACGAGTTGGCGACCCGTGGGGACCGAGTGAGTATAGTTGCAATAGTTGCTCTTGCGAGTGGTCGCCGGCAGTGCGAACGGTCAGCTATCGACTATTCGTATATGCATCTCTTTTGTTTACACGGAATAGATATACTCTATTATACGTTTCTTGAGCGAGAAAATAACCGATAGTTAGTTGTTTTTAACATAAGTGTCAAAGGGCACCCACCTTTCAACATTAGGTAAGTATGTATAGTCTTTAAAAATTGAAATAGATAAAAAATGGGGATTAATATAATGACCACCATAAAATGCTTTGATACCTTTAGTTTTGTAACCAAAAATATCTACTTAACACCAGAAAAATGAAGTCTAAAAATATAAAAGTACCAGCTATTTTAATATAATTGGTATGTTGTTCATCACTAATCTGATAAATTAGAATACAATTAAGTCATAAGCAATTCTGGGTCGATTATTATCTTATCTTTGATATCCGATTAATGCAGTTGCTATAAAAAGACATCCATTCGGCATATCACTCATTACCACACAGATTTTAAAGAAGGAAGTTCCAATATTCATATGAAAGTAAGTTTTGTTGTGTTTTTTAATTACTATTTTTTTTTACGCTTCGATCAGAGGTGAATATATACAATGTAACACACTTTTTCATCTTTCATGTTATAAGTTGCATGTTTATAGGTGGCTTAAAAGCCACTACCCGTCTAAAGTGTCTAATGACAATAAGCACAGTGGACACCATATTACCGTAATAAGTTGGTATTCTAAATTCCAACTTATTACTAAAAATTTCCGATAATATCCCTCCGATAGAGTTAAACACAACCACAAACTATATTTATTTATTTAAGTTTTACACAATTGCGTAAGGAGGATTTAATGCTAACAGCATTCTTTGCCAGTCATCCTTTGGGTAGTGCAGAAATGTATGTGGTAGGTGGTAAGCTGCAAAAATGTATATATTATATATAATGTATTTAATATCTAAAAAACTATTACAGATGAAGACCCTACTCGTTATCGTGCTCCTAGCTGCAGCATCAGCTTCAGAAGTCGTCAATGATGTACCAGCTGCAGAAGAAATAGATAACATTGAATTCGTAGAATTAGAAGAAATTCAGAAACTATTAGGCTTGGATCCGGCATACCCAGTGAAGATTCTGACAGAAAATGATGAAGATGGCGATGAATATGGTACTTTATTGTTTGATTCAATGTTAATAGATCCGTCTGAAGTTCAGGTTGATGATGATCCGTCTGAAGTCCTGGTTGGTGATGGCGAGGAGCCAAATTTAGTTATGAAGTGACCGGCCGATGCATGATTTACCATTAGATATTATGCACCATTGGACTGCAGTAAGCTAGAGGTTGCGAATTATATTTTTAATAATATTCTCTGATAGTAAAAAATGTTGTTATTACTATCAATTAATAGAACACACACACAAATACACTCACTCATACACATACACACATGAATTCACACAGACACATACTCATACACTCACATACATACACACACACATACATATATAAATACACACACACACACACACATACACACATACATACATACACACACACACATACATACATACACATACACACACACACACATACACACACACACATACACATTTATATTCCTTACATTCACGTGCAACTCATACACCAGACCATTCAAAAACCAGTCTCGTATAAATCAATAATTATGAATTCTGTGTATTTATATGTGAGAGAAGAAATAAAGTATTTGTATATTGTATCGTATTGTATTGATTGCATTTCTGGACGCAGATCTACGGAAGAAACTGATTAATTGAACTATGTTTGATATAATAATTAAGGATAGATAGTAAGCTGTTATGAATTGTGCTCATGTAAATAAATAAATATGTTATGAAATCTATTTCTTGTATTATTCACTAAGTTATCCTTATTTTGTCACTATTTATATAAGACAAAATTCAAAGACCTTTCCTCTTTGATAGAGATACCTCGTTTTAATGTAAGTATCAGATGTTTAATAAAAACAAATTTTATATAACTATTTTATCAATTAAAATAAATGCATAGAAACACCTTACATAACACAACATAACATCACGCCTTTTATCCCCGAAGGGGTAGGCAGAGGTGCACATTACGGCGCTTAATGCCACGGTACAGTGTACAATGTAACACCTACTTTTCACTATTTATGATATGAGTGCCATGTAGGGGTGTCTATTGCCATATACCGGGCATTTTTCCAGAATCCGTATTTCTGAGATTTAAAAAAAAATCCAATAATACTCTGCCCGACCCGAGTCTCACGACAGTCGCACCAGGGCCCACTCGGCCTCTGAGGCAGTCAGAAATACCTTATATGACGATAAAAATAATAAGAGTGGGCAGTATCTATACAACACATTAATTTGTGTTAAGTTTTTCTTATTTAGACATTTTAAAAAAAGTCTATGCCGTATGTGCTGCAGATGTTTAGTAAAATATCTACGAATTCTCAGCTTTCTAATAGGATACTATACGCTAGTGTATAGATAAGGAGTAACAATAGTTAGGATTCTCGGAAAAAACTATCTGATTTGCTCGATGATACACAATTAAATCTCATTTATTAGGTACATGTGGTTTCATCACGATGGTTATTCGTGCGATTCAGAGGTAGTGTCAGAGAGTGAGTGGACACTAAACATATTAATAAACGGAACGGAACGGTGGAA